CTGAAGAAAATATATTACTTATGAGGAACTACATTAACATTAGAATCCCCCGCAGCTCATTTTATTTTACGATAGAGAAAATCAGAGCTTTGTATGTCAAGTATCAACTTTTATCCCCTCTCAGTTTATGAAAATAAAATAAAGCTGGTAAAAATAAATTACTAAAATTATTTGTAAATATTTATGTAGAAATATTACATTCTGTCACAATCAAGGACATTTATAAAAGTGTTCAGAGAGCACACTCACACTCTATTTTCAATAATAAAAATAAATAATACAGAAACTAATAATAATAAAATAAATTTGTAACAACAAAAGAACTAAACTAATCAAAATAACAACTAAAACACATGCATACTTTACAATATTTACAGAATCCATTCACTCAGGAGAACTGCGAGCCAAGTCTTTCACCCCACTCGTGGAAGGAAAGGCAGGACTCTAGGAGATCCCAGTGTCTCGCACTGAGCCGCATTAGTGGTATTAAGAACCATTAGCGACTGAGGAGAGGCGCTGTAATCACACATACTAGGCTTGATCGGAGGATCTGCCCATTGCCAAAGCTCCAATACATATTTATTCACAGAAGGTCTTTGGGCCACTGCCGCTTCAACCGTCGAGGAAGATCGTAAGGATGGGTGGAGCTGGATAGAGATTGTGCAAGGGGATTCGGATATGTAAGGTTCTGGTGAAATTTGGAGAATTTTTCTGGGATAAGGTCTAGGACAAATGGGATATTACGGTCATTATGCAGGGTTTTGTTAGTTACATAGAACTATTGTTCGAAGGACTTTAGATTGAAGGATTGAATACGTTTGATGTTAGAAAATTTTGCTGTCCCCCACAGTTCAAGTCCGTATGTCCATATAGGTTTAAGGATTGTCTTGTAGGTATGTAATTTGTTTTCAATAGAAAGTTTAGATTTTCTGTTTAGTAGTCTATATAGCTGGCCGTATCGTCGGTTGAGTTCTTGTCTTTTGAGTCTGGTATGTGGGTTCCATGTTAGCCTTCGGTCTAAATGAAAGCCAAGATACCGGACTGTGTCTGAGTAAGGAAGCTGGATGGAATTAAAGTGTACTGGTGAACAAGAACTGCGTCGGAGCGTGAAGCGGTAACACCGGTTTTAACGGAGTAGATATTGGAAAATTCTGTTCCACAGCGAACTCGAAAGGAGCGGTCAGAGAGGTAGGATCAGAGGACTAGGTACAAGGACTGAGGTAAATGGATTTTAAGCTTGAAGAGCAGTCCGGAGTGCCATACCCGGTCAAATGCCTGTGCAATGTCCAGAAATGCACCCGAACAGTATTCCTTGTTTTCTAGGGCTGAAGAAGTATGATCAACAACTCGGAGTTCTTGTTGAACAGTAGAATTTTGAGAGCGAAAACCAAACTGATGGGAAGAGATATACTGAGAGTATAGTTTTCTAAAATAAAACATCCTAATAAAGCTTAAAAAAAGGATTCCTATAAAACATTGCATTTGTCATCTAAAAGATTAGTTTTCTTTCTTTTGTAATAAATAAATTTAGTTATAAATTATACATTATTAATATTTGTGTCACCAGACATCTTAGTCAGGGAAAACTATCCATTAAATAGGAAAATGTCAGGGAATTTGACTTTAACTGTCTGGTAGCCACCTTGGTCGCTTTTGGAAAGAATTTAACTTGAATACCAGTTTTTGAAAGAAAAAAAAAAATAAAGAAAAAAAGGTTGATTGAAGTTCGGTTTGTTTTTATGAAAAATATTGGTATATGCTTTGGAGAGGGGTAAAATATACAATAAAACTAATTTATTTTTAATTTAAACTAAACTGTTAAAAAAGCTATTAACGAATTATTTTTTAATGAATGCATATGAAATGCAAGCAAGTTTCATAGTATCTGTCGAAAATAAAATAATTTTTTTAAATGTTTTTAAATTTTTTTTAATGTTTAGAGACGTTTTTGAAAAAAAAAATTAATTGAATCGTCGATCTTATTGTGTGTTTTTATTTGAGAATCTATACATACTCGATTTCCAAAAAACTCAATTTGTTGTAGTTAAAACTGAAATTGTTATAGTTATAACAGATCTTTTAATTCGTTAAAATAAAATTTAAAAATCTTGACATCTCGTGGTTAGGAAGAAGAAACACACACAGACACACATATATATGTTTTAACATTCCGTTTCTGTCGACCGTTTGAAATTGAAGAGCTCTATCAATGCTCAAATTGAACCTGGTAAATTGTACTATTAAGTTATTTATGATAATTATCTGTTTGTAGACATAATTATAATTATATTGATAAACACCTATAATTATAATGAAGCACCTATGATTATAATCGAACACCTATAGTTAAAATCAAAACACCTCTAACAAACTCCTCAAATTATTGTCCATAGGTAATTCTAATGCTTCAAGGTTAGCTGTTTAATGCTCTGAAAGAACTGTCTGTTATTTCGAAACCTCTGAGTTATCTAGACCGGGTTTCTAAAAATAAAACCCCCCAAAAAAGCAAAATGTATGGTGTCCATCATTGATGGCAATGAACTCCGCCGGTCTGCTCTTTTGAGGTAAAATTATCTCCAACTATATTTACCGACAGCTGATAGCAATGTTTCAGTTCTGTACTTGTGTCACATCCGAGTTAGTAATAGTTGGCAACTGAAACGTCTGCCGAGCAGGCTAATATACCTTTCTCACCGTTTTGAATGAGCACATAAGAAATTAAGCATATACTTCATTCAGTATATACTTCATTAAGCATATAATTCATTAAGGATATACTTCATTCAGTATATACTTCATTGAGAATAAGTTTTATAGGTCTCAAAAGTAAAGGAAAATATTTATAAGAGTGATAGTATACCTTAAAAGCTTATACAAACACATTTTTCATATTTTTAGCAGAAAAATAGGAAATTTAAGATTTGTGTATTTTTAAGTAAGTCACGTTTTTTTGTTAAATAGGTAGCGATAACTAAAGAAACTTTTAATATATTAATGTTATATGCTATATATGTATTTAACTATTCTGTCGTAGTAGAAGTTTACAAAATTAATTTCATAAGAAAGTAGAGTTTATCATTGTTAAAACCATTTAAATGGAACTTTTGAGCGCATAAACTAAGCTAAGTCTGATTAAAAAAAGTCCTAAATTATTAGCGGTTCATTTTCTTGTCCTGGAATACCTGTTGCAAAACTAAGCCCTCAACTTAATTAATATTGACTTAATCTTATTCAACAAAGAAGTATTTTTAAAAGTAGGGCATCTGTAGCATAGTTGGAGGGTGCTGAAAAATTAATATTGAATAATTTATGATTTTGTAACAACAGAATTTAGCATAGTTTATCCGCTCAAAGGCCCTCTTTAGATGGTTGTAACAATGACAATAGTTTACGGTGATGCAATAGTTAATTACCTAAATTAAATATCCATTTTGTTATCGCTTTCTATTCAACCAAAAAGAAAGAAGAAAAAAAGACGTAACTGTAAATTTCCTACTTTTCTTTCTGCCGATTATCGGACCATTATTTCAATATAAACTATATTATTCATATATAAACTTTTTCGTAGCCCTTGAGATTTACTATCACTCCTCTAAATATTATCGGTCCATTATTTAAATATAAACTATATTGTTTATATATAAACTATATTATTTAAATATATACTATATTATTTATATATTAACTATATTATTTATATATAAACTTTATTATTTAAATATAAACTTGTTTGCAGCCCTTGAGATTTACTATCACTTCTGTAAATATTTCTCTCTACTTCTGGAATATCCTGTGTAATATTATTTAAAACTGAATAAAGTCCAATAAATCACTACAATTTAAAAGTTATATAACCTTCCATTCGCATGAGTTTAATGCATGCCTCATCTCGCTTCCATTAGCAAAATCTTGTAATAACTTCCCTTCAATTTCAAGCCTAATCGAAGGAATCTTAATACAGGAGGTTGTGTCCCGGAAGTAGAGGCGAAATTTTAAGAGGTTGATTGTAGGCATTAAAAAAAAAAAAAAATCAGCTCATGTAAACGATTGCCCGATTTCCAGTACAAAAGTAGGACATTTTGCGTTTTATTTTTTTTTGGGGGGGGGACACTCACATTTTTTGTTGAATAGAAAGCGAGAACTATAAAAATACTTAATTTTTGTAATTACCAACTGCGTCACAATAAACTAGACAAATTAATATGGACTCTAAGCTTATTAAACGAGGAAGTTTTCCTATTGGTAGCTTAAACATAGTACAGTTGAAGGATTAAAAAAAAAAAATCACAAATAACTTAAGATTTCTTTTAAACAGAACTTAGCTGTCTTTAAATGATTTTAACTCATCGCTGGCATGTCCGCCATTTGGATCTGCCTACAGTCAGGCCGATGTGGTAAATAGTTGGCAAGGACTCTATTCCCTTCCCCACCCCTCACTGAGCTGAGGTACCTGCTCTGCGGCATCTTCTATAGGTCGCCAGTGCACTAATGTAAACGTTACATTTCGATTGGCCGTACGAGAAGTACGGCACCTCGGCTTTATGAAGATGGGCTGGTGATCAAAACTCACTGGTTTCAAACCCGCGAATGCTGATCACTACTTATCCCGAAGATTTTAACTCGAGCAAAAATTATATACCTTCAAACAAAGGTAATTGTGTAGGCAATGAAAATAATGGGGGTGCTATAATAACTTTACTTGGCTGACAAGTATATTTATTTATTCACTATGTTCTATTGGATATTTTGTGTCATACGTCATAGCCCATGCTTTATTGGATATTTTGTGTCATACGTCATAGCCCATGCTTTATTGGATATTTTATGTTATACGGAATAGCCCATGCTTTATTGGATATTTTGTGTCATACGGAATAGCCCATGCTTTATTCCGGATGAACGGGTTATACTTATTATTTATTTTTTTGTGTATCATTATTATTAGAACTTTTTTGCCTAATGATTTTCTTTTTTTCAGGTAAGAAATGGTGGTTTCATTGATGACTGGCCATATCTGTATGTCAGGTACTAATCTACAATATATATTAAATTTTAGCATATACCTGTTTTAAACTCACCCGGGCACCGTCATTAGTCGATAATAAATTTATTCTGTTTCGTTGGAAGTTGTTTTTTCTAAGGACCGTGTCACTTTCTTTAACTTGAATTAAAAAAAAAACTAAATCTTTATTTATTTAGGAATCATTTTTTTAAACGTTTAGATAACTTCCTTTATTCAAAATTTTAATTAGTTTATTCTTTATTCCATTACATAAGGGAATAACTATAGGGATAGGTTAGTTGTCAGCTCATCAATTATAAGGATAAAATAAAATTGTTTGGAATTCCAGTCGATATTTTTATTGGATTTGCCGACGTTCCGACCCAAACAGGTGGGTCATCCTAAGGACTGGCACAGTTTTTCTTTCGACTTCCATACGATAGCCCTGAATATCATAGACTGAAATTCCAAACAATTTTGTTTCATCCTCATAAAGGAATAAAATGTGGCCGACTCCATGTGAACTTTTCTAACGTTACACTTTGTTACTTTTACATGGTGCCGACAATGTTATGTATTTAATAATCTCGATTTGAATGTTAGTTATTGAAATTGTTGTGTTCATATAATGTTTAAAATAAAATAAAATAAAAATGACACCATTTGATTAAAAATAAAATATTGCTATATTGAGGTATTGAGAATGGAGCTCTACATATTAAGAAAAAAATAATCCTTTAGTTTTTGTTGCTTATTCTTTAATCGCTAAAATTAAACGCATAAAATAAAACCTCATTTATGTGGATATTTTTATAAATTGATAGAAGTGTACTTTAAACCTCTTGAAGTTGTCAGTTTATTATTAAATTGAACGTTTTTATTTCAACAACTGAACAGCAGGTTTCGGGTCAAAAGGGGTTGGTAATATTTGCGTGGTTAATTGTCATAAAATTTCAGTTTAGAAGAATAGATGGGACTGAAGTTTTTTTTTGTTTTTTTTTTCATTTACAAGGGTGTTGTACGCAGAGAAGGGAACATAATATAATACAAAAGATATGCTGAAAATTCGAGAATATTAATTGTAAAAAATTGTATGCATTTTGTTTCATAGATAATTATAAATTATCAATTATCAAATATAATTCAAGGATAATTATAAATTATAATAATAACACTAAGCATAAAGCTTAAAGTTGAGCTAAAATAGTTTTAAGCTTATTTTAGTTGTATTACTTGTGGCATATCTGTGTATCCACTAAATTTTGTTGGGAATTGATGTTATATATATACTTCGAGCATTTTGTTATGAGTTTTATTTTATTTGTTTTTTCATTTTATTTATGTATGCATTTTTTAATTTAATGTAACACGTTCTGTATTACTATATGTTAAGTTATGTATATATATATATATATATATATATATATATATATATATATATATATATATTTCCCCCTTGTATTCCTGCTTATCAGCTGTTCAATATAACCTTCTTTAACTGCGTTAGCAGAACGTTCTATTTCCTTCAGTAGGTGGTGAGGTTGGCTTGGTGAGATGTTTAGAGCAATAATCTTTTGTTTCTTTCTGCATGTACGTGATCTTGTTTTCTGCCCTAATGGCGAAAAGTTGGCAAGTTAACTGTCCACCTATTTTAGTTGGAGGCTTGTGGCTTTGTAGTTTGTTTTTTCCATTAATAATATAATAATAATAATAATAAACTTTTCTCCCAAAAAAATTCTATTTTACGCTCCCCCTGTTAACGAAAGCTGTATAGTAGTGCCCTTGTATACTGCAAATATTCATCGATTAGAATCTTGAATAAACTCATTATTGTTGTAATTATTCGTTTAGTCTCAACACTCTTTTCAGGGTTAGTTTTCTTGACCAGTTTCTTAAATGAACTCACCAAGGAAAGGTAAGGTCAGTGCGTCACGGATGCAATCATTTTTTGTTTTGTGATACTACATCGAAAAATATTAGACAGAAGTCCTGCCATTCGTTCTAATGGGCCCTTGGAACTGAGGAAAAAAATATTTTATATAATTTCAAATAAAATCGTTGTTATTTATATTTTGCTTTTTCTTTGCCCGGATTTTTAGGTTATTATATATTTCTAATTACTTTCACTTAGATATATTTATGAAATACATAGTAAGGGACAGTATTGTTTTGAGGTCTTCTGAGTCTAAATAACCAAGTCCCCCAAAATGGTGTGTGTGTGCGTGTGTCTGTGTGTATGTATGTACCAGTCTAGCTCAAAAAGGAAAAGTCTTTTTCGTTAAAATCAGCTAACCGGAAGTGCCACTTTATATCATCACTTGTACACATTTTTACAATTTTCTCAAAAAAGGCTCCAGCGATTTTGATTAAACTTAGTGTATCATTGTATAATTAAGTGGTCTTCAATATCATTGATATCTTATCCCATGGATGTCACTTTACAGGGTTTAAATGCTTAAATGTTCAACATGTCTTCCTCTAAAGTACTATTAATTTGTTTTAAATAATTAACTATCCCTCTGTATTAAGAGTTGCCAAAAATGCTAAATATAACTCTTGAAAGAATTCGATAATTAAAAATGAAGAAAAAAGGGAAAATGTTTATTTAGTTCGAAAATGAATTTCGAGAAATACTAGTCAAAAAGTATACGTAATATATCATTGGAAAGCGGAGAGTTTTATAAAACAACAATATCTAATATATAAAGTCGTAGAAAGTAATGCGAGAGTGGCGATAAATTACAAATCATAATTTGTTGAAATTAATGTTATTTAACGGAAGTCAAACAATTTCAAGGAAATTAAATGAAATTTACTAACTAAATGTAAACTTTTTTTTGAATTTGAAAAAGAAGTATTTAAAAACCACCTAGTCAAGGCAATGGCATTGTTTAAAAATTACTTCATAATACTTATGTGAAAGAAGAAGTGAAATATAAAAATATTTCGTGGACGTATAAAGCATACGTTTATAATCTTAAATACATTTACTGTAGTTTAACAATTCTAGGTCTGATATTATATTTAAATAGTTAGGTATCAATGTCCGTTTATTCCGAAATATTGTCATGTAACCTTTTAGGAAATTTAATTAGTGAATAATTTGATGAATTTTCAGTTTGTGAAATTCAAAAATTATCCACTTAAAATTAGTGTGACAACTTTTGACCTATCTATAGCAGGCATTGAAAATCTCGCAATTTAGTAAACTTTACAATGGAAAATAATATTTTAATAACTAATAGTTCTATAATCCACAATCATTTATATCTTGAATGTGGAGATATACTTTCAAATCTCTGGATATACTCTCAAAGACTGGATTTGTGTGGTTTAAAAAAATAGATCGAGTACCGAGGTTTTATTGTCTACCGTTGATATAATTAATAGGGTTTTTGTTATTTTAGTGATATTAACGATTTGTTAGCTGTAAGCTATAAACTATAGCTCTGTTGAAAGTGCACTTCAAAAATTTTATAATTGCTGAACATTGACAGAAAATAATTTCTATTCAAACTAAAGGGGTAAGTGGAAGTTGTGTGTTGCGCGCGCACCAGATTAAAAGTTAAAATTAAAAATTTATCTTAGCTAAAATTATTCAATTTTGTTTGTAATTATAAATAAATTTGAATCGGAAAACGTATAAATACGAGATTGTACAGAGAAATTTAATAAATTGCTCAATCACTTGAAGCAGGAGGCCTCCAAAATTTATAGAGAACATTCTCCATAAGGATGGAATCGGATAAGCAGCGATATTGTTGTGAATAGGAGCTCTTGTTGGAGTTTTGATAAGATACCACGGGCTGTGTATACATCCGCTATATTAGTTTCTTCGTTATTTTGAGAGCCATTTTAACATGTCCATATCCCGTTATAGGTTCAGATCCAGTTATACAAGTAAAGATCTGAAATCGAAACTAATTCTGAAGGTCATCTTACACGGTCAAGTTTCTCCTTTCAAGTTTAAACCTCAACTAAATCAATATGGAGTTAAAATATTATTATACGAGGATTTTTTTCTCAATTTGGGGTACCTGTAGTATAGTTGGAGGACGATAAAAAAAATCGGCAATAATTTATTGTTTGTCCAAAGACAGAACTCAGCTCTGTTCAGCCGCTCAAAAGCCCTCTTTAAACAGCTTTAACAAGGACGAACTCTATTTTGGTTTAAACTAAATGTTGTCTATTTTACAGTGAAGCAATTATTAAATACTTTAATGAAATATTTCTTTAGCTATTGAGAAAACGGACTTACTTAAAAACACAAATTTCCTATTTTTCTGCCAAAGATTGAACCAATGTTTATCTCAATATTTTTGTATCTCTTGATGCCTGCTATCACTGCCATATATATTTCCCTCCACTTACGGGATGTCCGGTATACATGTTATGTTTTGTATCTCTGATGTTTTAATTTATTTAGTTCTCACGTTCCACATGCTTAGATTGAAACAAATGAATACAAATTCACAAAAAATTGACTGTCTTAATTATTGTATAACCCATGAAAATATGGCGTCTTCTAAAAATACGTAGTCCCGAAAATACAATCACTCCTTCCTCCATAAAGATTCGTAACTGTAAAAATGTACTCCCCCAGACCTAGACCCAGACTTAGACCCAGACCTAGACGTAGACCTAGACCCAGACCTGGACCTAGACCCAGACCCAGACCTGGACCTAGACCCAGACCTGGACCTAGACCCAGACCTGGACCTAGACCCAGACCTGGACCTAGACCCAGACCTGGACCTAGACCCAGACCTGGACCTAGAGTCAGACCTGGACCTAGACCCAGACCTGGACCTAGACCCAGACCTGGACCTAGACCCAGACCTGGACCTAGACCCAGACCTGGACCTAGACCCAGACCTGGACCTAGACCCAGACCCGGACCTAGACCCAGACCCGGACCTAGACCCAGACCCGGACCTGGACCCAGACCCGGACCTGGACCCAGACCCAGACCTGGACCCAGACCCAGACCTGGACCCAGACCCAGACCTGGACCTAGACCCGGACCTAGACCCAGACCTGGACCTAGACCCAGACCTGGACCTAGACCCAGACCTGGACCTAGACCCAGACCTGGACCTAGACCCAGACCTGGACCTAGACCCAGACCTGGACCTAGACCCAGACCTGGACCCAGACCCAGACCTGGACCCGGACCCAGACCTAGCCCTAGACCCAGACCTATACCTAGTCCCAGATTTAGACCTAGACCCAGACCTAGCCCTAGACCTAGACCCGGACCCAGACCCAGACCCAGACCCAGACCCAGACCTAGACCCAGACTTAGACCTAGCCGATAGACCCCCTGAAAAAAACTCGTGATTTTTTATCATGCATAATAATTATGAGCGATGATCAATATAATTATTGTAAAACAAACAATATTATACTATTTATAAGGATAAATTATATATATATCTTTATCCAATATATTAGTTTTTGATTTTTTGTTTTGCGTATGGGTTTATTTGAAAATAGATCAAAAAACCGATTGAACATATAATACATGTTTATTTAAAGATTTGAGGAAGTGAGATGAACTCCCAATTCTTCGATGCTTCTGATTTCCAGCAAGAATGTGACTAAATCTTTGCGTAAAAATGGAAGATGCCCACGAATTAATCGTAAAATCCTATAATGTATTGCTACATATAATTATGAGAAGGAGTTAATTGGGGGGGTGCGGTCCAATAAATACTAAATTAAAATATAGTAATTTTTTAAAGGTAAATAATTATTATTTATTTATAGTATTTATTTATTAGTAAATAATTATTAATTATTTAAAGGCAAAACTTATATAATTACTATATTTTAATTTAGTATTTATTTGACCGCACCCCCCAATTAACTACTTCTCATATTACATCAACGGTCAACCATCTCTACATCATTACATATAATTATATTAGAATCTAAGCCAAAATGTCAATAATATAGGGCGTGGTAAAATAGTTGCGTAGCTAACTTAGCTAGCTTGGCCTTAACTTGACATAGCCATCTAGTCCACTTTTTGAAGTTAAAACTTCCTTTGGCGCGCTTTGCACTTTGTTTGTGGTGAATGAATCGGAGTGAATGAACCGTCAGATAGCCGATGTGTAACTCTCGGGTAAATTCGGCTGGAGTTGACTTATTGAAGAGTTTTTGCATATGGATTAAAACATCTCAAAAACTAAAAATCGGACGCGCATATTGTTAGCGAGGAAAATGTTCATCATTTCATTTTCTTTGTAATGAGCTATTATTCAAAACAGTATCTTGACGCGATTCCTTGTTAGAGATGCGAAAAGGAAAAAAATGTTGTCGAAAAGTACTATATTCTCACCTCCCCTGTCCGTTCTCATCGGAAGGAGGACGCCCTGCCTTCACCTGCGGCTCCAGGACAGCCCACCACACTTCTCTACCTTCGTCCGGAGCGGCCCCAGAGGACCCCTATCTATGTAACTCGCTCAGTATTGAGCGGCCCGCGGAGGGGCTATCGACTGATCACGATGGCAGTGGCGGTGATGATGATGATGGCTATAGCAGATTGATAGTGCTGTCCATGGGCTTCGGTTAATTAGTACAGATGCCGCTGCGAGGCGCTGGCATGCAGGGGCGTGGCCTGCCCTGCCCCACTGTAGTCTGCCCCGAGGTCTGTTTGTCGCCCGTAGTCAGGGAGAGATCGATGCCTCGTCCACTCTTCGAGGGGTCGGGTCTCCTCTGCCCGCTCCACTGTAGCACTCTACTAGTTACAATGAAAACAATCTCATTATGTAACTTGAACCAAATCTCTCTACTGTATGAAAAGGTTTTTAGTGACCATCATATTTTATTTTACATATACAAAGCGGAACAGACCGTAATGAAGACACCACACTTCTTATTCCCAGAACTATTTCTCCCTTATTTCGTTTACAAATTGGCGATAAGGTGCGATATATTTTATACATTTTTAAATGAAATTTTTTTTCCGTATTTCGTCGTTCCGTTGATTTTATATTAATAAAAAATAATCCAATCAGATCTATAGAGTACATGTAAATTACGCAATTAGTTATAAAATTTGAGCAACGAGTAGTACAACCCATAAATGAACGGTTGTATAATTTGTAAAATGGGGGTTGGTCCGACGTTAGGTGGACGGAGCAAGTACGGGAGGGGGAGTGGAGCAAGGTACTCCCTAGTACTGCTGTAAAATGTCTTTTGTTTTTCTTTCATTACCTTCATTTATTTTTCTTGTATATTTGGTAATTGGATATTTTAGGCTCTAATGCTTATTGCCCTTGAGTGTGGCAGATTGTGTTCATATTCAAATAAAAAAAACAAACAAAAAACTATATATAGAATAGTAATCCGCGGTACGGACCTCTTTTTATGTTATTATTGATATACGTCTGGAACATCGTGATTGTACTTATTTTATATATATCTACTTGTATAAATATGTATATAAATATTTTAATATTTTAATTTTCTTTATTAGGAAACATTACATTTTGTTATAATTAATGGAATTATTAATAGTAATAAAGTAGCTCATTCACAATCTGTATACATCAAATAAAAATACAGCAAAATAATAATTCTAAAAATAAATAGGTCTACCTATATAAACAAAACGAAATTTCAATTAATCGAAATGACAACTTAAATACGAGTATACTTAAATACAATATTTACAGACACTCACTCAGAGGAACTCTCCACATGTGGAAGGAAAAGCTGAACTCTAGGAGATCTCAAGACTCACTCACAGCGTCGCTGGTGTTAAATGGCGAGTGGACACCGTGCAGAGGCGATATGACCACAGGCGTACGTAGCTTGTGTGGAGGATCAGACCATTGCCACAACTCATGCTTATTTACAAAAGGTCTCTGGGCCAGTGCCGCTTCAACCTTCGAGGATTGTAGGGATGGGTGGAGCTAGATAAAGATTGTGCAAATGGATTTGGATGATTTGTAAGGTTTTGATGGAATTTGGAAATTTTTTCTTGGATAAGGTCTAGGACAAGTGGGATATTTAGGTCATGATATAGCGCTTTGTTGGTTACAATATGGAAGTCGGTAAAACTTGTCTATTCAATTCAAGGAACTAAAAACACATGAATGTACATTTACTTTCCTCTTAACCACAAGATAATTTAATCACAAAACTTCCTGTCTTTGTATGCGAACTAATGATCGTTATATATGTGTATAATAAAAAACTTTCAGATCGAAACCACATCCCCCTCCCCCCCGCAAAAAAAAAATTTAAATCCAAGAACCGCTACTGACCAATAGTATTCAAAAGTTGTCAGGGCGGATTGAGCACTAAAGCACTATACTTTTACCATAAATGTTTACTATCTTTCCCGGCTCAGGACTTAGCGAGATCTTGTCAATAGCATTCAGCTGCCCAACAGTCTTGTATCCCTGTATCGATCAAAAATCGAGTATTATTATGTCAAGTTAGGTGTATAATAAATTCCCCAAAACATCTAAACTGATTTAAACTATATTCTAACTTAAACTATTACCAGGACTACTCAACCTTGCCCCTGTTTACGTGAGGCGTGCTGTTGGTTCATTGTCCCGTTGTATCCTCACAATTATGGCAGCCAGTAATTTCTTTACCTGATGTAAGTTTGGGTGTCCGTAAACGAAAACTTTATTTGCGCATAATTAAAAAAAACATGCCATTTACAGTTCCTAGACTTCTCTACAAAGCGCAATTAAAAAAAAAAAAAAAAAAAAAGATTAGAGTCAGATAATTATTTGAAAATTGTCATTTATTGTGAGCATTATAACATTATGTTGCTGACAATATTCATCACTTCTCTTTATTCATTATTTATTATTTTTGCAATATGCAAACCCAAGTGGTTACTTTCGGTGTGGACTTTCCGTAATAATGCAATGCTTTCCTACGTTCGTCATTGATGGAGCAATAATATAATAATTAATATCTCTTATTATGTACGTCCTTTTCATTATATGTATTATATAACGCTGTTTATTAGATGGTCATATAATTGTATAGGTCTGTTTCATTGTATGTATATATTATTGAGATGTAATAAATCTTCTGAATTTATGAATAAATTTTCAAATCACATGGATCGCCCTGTCACTGTTTTGAATCAGACCCGACAGAAATAGAAATGAAGTAGAAAGCTGGTGGCGTGCGTCGGATTCTAGTGTGGGAGAGCTGACTAAGAGAAGAATGTTGAACCGACGGTGTCCAGTTCTAGAATGAATGTTCCAACTGCTGCGGCGATGTATTAACTACATCTTTGTCGGGGATTCGCTGAATATCCTAAGTAATACGGTTAATAATAATCTGTAATACTAATGGGCCCCTGCGGATAATTCGAAAGGAATATTGCTCTGTCAACAAATGATAAAATCATAAGAATAATAAATAAATAAAATAATATACATATATATATATATATATATATATATATATATATATATATATATATATATATATATATATATATATATATATATATATAATCAATATAAAAATGAATAAAAAACGTATAAAAAACGTATAAAAATGAATTCCATTGTTTTAAATCGAAATGTTTTGATGCCAATGTAGTGATAACATTTTTGTTTCACTTTCAATGTTTTTAGACATCCATATTTCGTTTTTTGTTGTATTTTTCTTCATAGTTGTATTTTTCATGAACGTCAAGTTATTAGAGTGTCAATGTGACCTGCTGGCTTGGCCTTGGATGTTTTTTTAAACTAAGCAACTGTTATCATTTTTGAACCTATGCAACTGTTATCATTTTTGAACCTATGCAACTGTTATCATTTTAAACATGCGAATAATTCTCTTAATTAAAAAATGTCCTGAAAATGTGAAAGATGTATGCTGGTCCTATTAAGGAAGTAAGAATGTATTTTCTTTAGGTTTATAAGATGGAGGAAGTAATTTTAAGTTATATTTTGTTTATTTTTATTTTTATTTTTTTTTCTAGGTTTGAACTGTTTTGCAAGCTTTGTTATCGATGTTTTTATGTTTTTTTTTTTGCAAATATAGCTCAATAAACGGATGAACTTAAGGAAATTAAATTAATAAATTCAACGTAACAAAGCTTAAACGCTAAAATTATTTACAGTGTTGCCAAATAAATTGTTTCAAGTCCTCAACCAGGCCGTGGAATAGTTTGGCGTTACATCCTTTGAGACTTTCCATTGACCTCAATTGCATTCAGCACAGTTCGCACACCGACTGCTCTCCAGATGGGTTTGGGTTTAGTATATCCTAGTTCTTAGAATAACAAGTTGATGATATGAAGAATAAATTATGTATACACCAACTACAGTATGGAGAACTCTCATTGCAGATGGATTTCACCCATATCATTGTCAACGGGTACAAAGTTTAAGATTTTTGGCAAAGAAGAAATTTTTCAGATTGGTATTTAAATCAAGTTGAGCACGATCCACGATTTTCAGGAAAAATCTCTGGACAGATGAAGCTACCTTTACAAGAAGAGGTATCTTCAATCAGAAACAAATCATCGCTGGTCGCAGGAAAATCCCGATGCAATTCCTGGGCATCATTCTTCAGCACCAGTTTCATCATTCTTCAGCACCAGTTTCATCATTCTTCAGCACCAGTTTCATTCAGTGCATTGTGAATTTCTTAATGATTATTGCTATGATTTAGTTGAACATACTAACCGCTACAGCTGAGAAGGGACACGTGGCTTCAATTAGATGGTTGTCCCGCACATTAAGGAAGAGGCCCACGACAATGGCTAATATTATCCCAATCAATGGATTGCCGTGCAGAACCAGTGGCTTGGCCTGCCCGCTCTCTAGACCTGACACCACTGAATTTTTTTGTTTGGGGTGACATTAAACAAAAACTCTATGCAAGTCCGGTCAAGGACCTTAATTCCTTATGAAGAATTATAATTGAATCTTCTGAAACAATAACACATATCCAGTGCTGCTGTTGCAGAAAGATGCCGAGCCTGTCTTAATACTCAAAAAAATCACTTAGAACAACATTTAATATTATTTTAATGTTTACGTTCAATTAATAAAGTAGTTGGAACAAATAAATAAGTTATATTTATTTAATATAACGTAAATAATTCATATTAATGAAAACCCTTAGGTGTGAATTTCTTCTAAAGAAAGCGTTTGCGGACATGCCTTTATAGGAATTTTTTTTCTTCTTTTGAGGTCCCTAATTCATATTTTCAGTTTGGCCACTTAACCCTGAAACACCCTGTGTATATACACACACATACATACATATATATATTTATTATTTGTATATATATATGATTAACATATATTATACTTGCTTCATGTGTAGCATTAATGGAGTGGACATTCACTCTCAAAAATAAACAAATTACATTTTCTCATATTCAGTGACGAAATTTATCAATATATTTAAAATTGATGTAACTTTGGACTCATATAAGATAAATTAATAAATGATGACATTTATTATACAAAAACTGACGATTTTCTTGTTGAACGAAAAGCTGTGGTGTTAAAGAGACAAGTTGAGAAAAACGTGAGTTAAAAATAAA